GAAAAATAAAGTGAGCGAGAAATTGTCATTCGGTTAGATTAAAACTGCGACTAATACAAAAAGCGAGCAAAGCGAGCCATAAAAAGTGACCAATTAGAGAGATTTGATTAATTGGTAAGGTAAGAATTGTGACTAAAATAAAATGTGAGCGAAGCGAGCCATAAAGAACACCACCAATAGAAATCTGATCAATCGGTTATGTTAGCACTGTGACTCAAACAAAAAGCGAGCGAAGCGAGCCATAAAGGTTAACTATTAAGAGAGATTTGGTTAATTGGCAAGGTTAAAACTGTGACTAAAATAAAATACGAGCGAAGCGAGCCATAAAGAACACCATCAATAGAGGCCTGGTCAATCAGTTAGATTAGAACTGTCAATAAAACAAAAAGCGAGCGAAGCGAGCCATAAAAAATGGAGACCTGGTCAATTGCTTAAAGTGCTGTGACCAAAATAAAGAGCGAGCGAAGCGAGCCATAATGCTAGACCATTAAGAGAGACCTGATCAATCGATTATGTTAGCAACGTGTCTAAAACAAAAAGCGAGCGAAGCGAGCCATCAAAAATGGAGACCTGGTCAATTGCTTAAAGTGCTGTGACCAAAATAAAGAGCGAGTGAAGCGAGTCATAATGCTAGACCATTAAGAGAGACCATCGATTATGTTAGCAACGTGTCTAAAACAAAAAGCGAGCGAAGCGAGCCATAAGGAGTAACTGTTAAGAGAGATATGGTTAGTTGGTAGGGTTAGAACTATGACTAAAATAAAATGCGAGCGAAGCGAGCCATAAAGGACACCATCAATAGAGACCTGGTCAATCGGTTAGATTAGATCTGCGAAAAAAACAAAAAGAAAAAGCGAGCGAAGCGAGCCATAATAAATGGAGACCTGGTCAATCGGTTAAGGAACTGTGACCAAATGTGCTTATAAGTGTGCTAGAAAATGTATCACGGTTATTTTTCATGGTTTTTACTTTATAGAGCAGATTTTGGCGTTATTGATAACATTTTTCAGATCACTTACAGAAAAAAAATGTATTCAGTTGAAGTATTGCCGGATGATAAAAACAGTTTTTCTTTTTTGATATTGTGATTTTTAGGAAATTTTCTATTGAATAAGAATAAAAGACTACAAGGCGATGTATACAACCTTTATTTTAAGTTTTCTTACGTTTTTCAACTGAATATTTCTTTTTATATTGCGTGTAAATTGGCAACCTTTTCTTATGTATGATGTTTTGCGTACTTAAAGATCTTTTATTTGAAGATAGAACTTACTAACTTTTTCTAGGCTATTTTATACTGTATACCCAACATAACAAGAGCTGGTCTTGAGACTCCAATGTCTGTACTAACTAAATATTAACTTACTTTTTATATAAAAATAAGAGAATAAATGAAGCCGATCCATTCCAAATTTTATTTTAGTTTTGCTTGCGTTTTTCAACTGAATTTTTCTTTTTCTATTTAATGTAAACTGGCAACCCTTTTTATTTTACGAATGGAGCTTTGTGTAGTTAAACATAATTCATTTGAAGATAGAACTCACTAACTTTTTCTAGGCAATTTCAAACTGTAAACATAACAAGAGGCGAACCTCAAATCCCACCGCTCCGGTTCCACAAGCGACTCGTTTATAAGTAAAGCAACAAAAACTTCCATAGGTTTATTATGACATATGGGTTAGGTTAGGTTAGTGTATGAAAAACAACGCACGAGCCGAGCGAGCGTAGCGAGCGTGCCGCGGCAGCGGCCGGCGAAGTGCCAGAAACGAATCGCTTTTGTTGATGGTAACATTTGGTTTATAATGTTTAAAAGATGATCGTGATCATTTTAATTTCAATTTTGATTTCGATGGACTTGACAATTCGGGGTCTTTATAGCGTGTATATATGGACCATTTGTGTAGAAATCTTTACCCACACTTTCACATACTCAAGTATGGAGAAAAAAAAATCTAATTTTTGACACGATATTTAATACTTAAAATATATTTTTCTATACTTTTAGATTATTGAGAAACATGTTCTTTTGATATTCAATATAAAAGTGTTCTACGTATGTATGAGTTTGAAATTTGACATTTATTTATTTGGTGTATTATTTAAGGTAACACTGGGGGAAATATCTACTTGATCCTTTTTCATACTAATTCTAAACTTACTATTGAATAAGAATAAGAGACTATAATTTATTTAGCGTTTTGCTTGCATTTTTCGACTGAATATTTATTTTTCTATTGCGTGTAAACTTTCAACCCCTTTTCTTTGATGTATGGTATTTTGAGTACTTAACCACCTTTCGTTTGAAGATAGAACTTACTAACTTTTTGTAGACGTTCTCAAACTATAAACCAAACTCTACAAAAAAAAAATCGAAAGACACAAATTCCGCAACGAAGTTGGACTTAAAACCTAACCGCCCCGATTCCACTAGCTACTCGATACCCCTCCGGCTGCTCGCAGCCCGGGGCAACCAAGCGAAAGCTTCTATTCTGAAACGAAGGCGAACTTAAAACCCCATCGCGTCGTGAATTGATCTATTCGAATATCTGGCCCCGACATCGGTTCCCTTTTCATATAATAAATAAATCTTACATAAATAATGTAATGTAATAATGCAATTGACATTTAATTGATTAATTAATGATAGTAACACTGATGGAAATATATGTTCGATTGTTTTTTAATATTATACAGTAATTTACTAATAAATAAGAATAAGAGAATAAAAGAGAAAACTTATTTTAAGTACATATACAAAATTTATTTTAAGTTTTGCTTGCGTTTTTCGACTGAATATATCTTTTTCTATTAAGTGTCAACTGGCAACACTTTTTCTTTGATGTATAGTGATTTGTGTCCTTTAACGCCTTTTATTTGAAGATAGAACTTACTGATCTTTTCTAGGAAATTTCAAACTGTAAACCGACAGAAACAATAGGGGGACTTGAAACCCCACCGCGCCGATTCCACCAGCTACTCGTGACCTCCCCGGGCTGCTCGCAGCCCGGGGCAACCAAGCTCTTAATTTCGAAACTTTAATGTTCGAATTTCAAAACTCCAAAAACGGTATAACTAAGTTTTGAATACCAGATATGTTTTTTGACATAATATTCTATTTAATAAATTTATTTTACACATGTTTCATTTTCCAGAAAAATTAAAAGACGATTTTCAAAAGCTGTTTTTTCTTTTTACAGATGTATTACTTTCAATATTTTTTTATTCTAGATGTATGAAATATCGAAGTAATCCTATTTTTACTAACGCAGTTATTTATTTTTCAACATTATTTATTGATAAAAAAGAACAAGTTTTTATGTATCGTCTGATTTATTTTTATAGAAAAAATAAATTCGAATTAAGGTTTAAGACATAGGTTTATTCAGTGCTTAATTTTGTGCAACAAAATGTATTGACAGAAGTGAATCGCTGCAAAACTGACTTCACGTAGTCTTGTCTGCCCTACCCCTAGAGTTCAATTTAAGCCCGCGTAGGCGCGGAGGGGCGAGGCGGCCCGCGAGTTGAGGAGCAGGTGGTTTACGCTCGCCGTTGAGCGAAAATCATCTGCGACGATAAACTCGCGTGGGACCGCCGGAGCCTCGCAGCGCCGGAGCCGTGACAGAAACAATGCATGTTGTATGCTTGAATGCCTGCTTGCATGACTGCTTGCATGCCTGCTTGCATGCTTGCTTGTATGCTTGCTTGCATGCTGCATGCATGTTTCAACTGAACCATATCACTTATCAAGTTATTGATGATTATAATAAAAATACTAATAATAATAATAATTTGAAGATTATTAGCTGTAAAAATGTCCAGTAGTTTATAGAAATAAACAGGTATTTCATATGGAGGCAGAAAGCTGAGTGCCAATAAATATTTAACATCCGTTTTAAAAACAATTTTCTGGAAACTAAATCGTCTAAAATATCTATATTTATCAAAGGTTGAGTAAGATTTAAAAACGTATTGATTTAAAAAATATGTATATTTGAAAATCGGATTATCAGCTATATGTCAATTGTTTTTTCGGTGAAATGAAAATATGGAAAACAAAAATGTGGCAAAACGTTTTCGGTTTAATAAAATTCGCACTGAAAAAATTCGATATTAAAATTATAACTAAAAACAACACCGGAGTACCCAATTAGAAGAAAATTTTTGCTGACTTCTTTTAAATTTGTAGTGAGACGATTTAGAGTTCGGTGTTATGACGTCACAGTCCAAAGACATTCCGTGCAAAAACACGTTGTTTAAAAAAATATATAACTTAATAAATGATTATTACAGAATTTTAATTTTGTTTTCAGATTTATTTAAACAATATATTATAGTCTTTACTGAATAGTAAAAAAGCTTTCTAAGTCTGACGTTATTTTTTAGGCATATATATTCTATACATAGAAAATAATTATTTTCTAGATATTTTTAAATAAATTAATGTCAGCTTTTAATTTAAGTAACATAATATTTTATTTATGAATATCACGATAAAATATGACGCGATATTGATTGATTATCATTTGGAAAAAAAAATGAAAATTATTAAGAGATAATATAAGTTATATGTTATCATCATTAGTGTATAGACGGTATTGATATGGCTGTGTTTGATATTCAGTGATCGTTTATAGATTTGTTTTTGTAGTTTCTTATCTAGATTTTATTATCTAAAGCGAAAGGTCACTCACTCGTAACGAAATCTCAGATACTACAATTGCTAGGACTTTCAAATTATGCATGCGGGTTTCTTATACGACATAGATGCACACAAATACGGGATTTCATGAAATTCTAATTTAACTAATTTATTTACTTGTTTTTATGTAAAATTTTGAGTGCAATAAAGAGTACTAATAATAAACTTAATTTAAGATCAGGCAGTTAGAAGCAAGGTCCTCAAATCCTTGCACGATTTCAATCAAATGTAGTTGAAAATAAAAAAAAAACCGTTGTAGTTTTTAAGATTTAGCTATTCATTATATAATTATTTACAGACCATGTTGTTGTTATGGATCTGGTGCCTGGTGTTGTTGGTGGTGTTGTGGCTGTACCTCAGACGGAAGTATTCGCAGTTTTCTGATTATGGAGTGAGACATTTACGCCCAGTCCCACTGCTGGGCAACATGACACGGTTATTGTTTCGCATGGAACACTCTACCGACTTCATAGACAGAATGTATAAGGCTTTCCCCAATGAGAGGTGTGTTGCATGTACTGTAAACATAAAAATGGTTAAAAAAATTATATAATATATATAATACTGCTGCTTGTCGAAAACTGTGGATAAAAACTTTAACATTTAAGTATATTATTAATCTTCTCATATTTATAGATCTGACAGATTTCATATTTAGGTGATGCTTCAGGGCTTATTTATGGGGCCCCTGTTGTATTTTTAAGATATTTTAATTTAAACGTAATCTGACAATTTTATTGTTTAAAGAAAAATTGAATGATTTTGGTTTTGTAAACAGACAAAACAAAAACGAATCAATTTTTTAATTTTAATAAGTGCAAGGAATGTGGTGTGAAGACTTTATATTTGTTTTTGATTGAAAGACAATTGTATTTGTAGATTTATTGGACTATACGAATTTGTAAGCCCAGCGGTGATCGTGAAGGACATCGAACTACTCAAAAAGATAACCGTAAAGGATTTCGAGCACTTTTTGGACCACAGGGCCATGATTGACGAAAAAACGGATCCGTTCTTTGGGAGGAACTTATTTTTTTTAAAAGGTCATTAATATGATATTAGTAAGTCAATAATATGATTATGCAATTATCATTACAACCAACATATATCATTTACCTAGCCACAAATAAGTTCAAGGTGTTACTTACTAACAATTTGTAGGACTGTAATAGCTATATTTCTGTACCATATTACACAGCGACTTTTTTCATTTTAGGTCAAGAATGGAAGGACATGCGATCAACTTTGAGCCCAGCATTTACCAGCTCTAAGATGAGACTTATGCTACCATTTATGGTAAATGTGGGTCACCAGATGATAGAAACACTCAAAAAGAAAATCAAGAATTCAAAAAGTGAGTGAGACAATCTATTATTTAGTCAATTTTCAATTCACAATGCTATTCTGGAAAATATTCTAAATGCATTTCTCTTGGAGAAAATATTATATTTATTAAATTATGGGACATTTAATAGAAGTACTTATTAATTTCCTTTAGCAAATTACGTTGATGTGGACTGCAAAGATCTGACCACAAGATTCGCAAACGATGTGATCGCGTCATGTGCTTTCGGCCTAAAAGTGGACTCTTTAGTAGAAGAGAATAATGATTTCTACAAGATGGGCAAGGAGGCTTCCACCTTCACCTTCAAACAGTTGCTTCTTTTCTTTGCTGTTGCTAATTTTCCGAAAATAATGAAGGTTGGAAATTGTATTACATCTTATCATTATGGTCAATCTAATAATATTTTTAGGTTCAGATTTGTTTTAAATTAAGACAGATGGTAAAACAAATCGAAATTTAGTGTTTTATAGATCACGACTATCAAAACTCTTAGTTTTATATATACTTAATAATAAGAATATATACTTAATTAGGTTTCGTAACTTATACTACTTGTGAATTAGAATTTTATTCAGATTACCTATATAACGTTAAAGCTGAAAGAGCAAAAACTTTTAATCTTCAGTTTCCTTAAAAATAACAATAAAAAAATCTGAAATCCAAATACAGAACAAAATATTTCACTTGCTAAAAATATTTCAACATTCCATAGTGATAGCGTATTAGATCCATCTACGAATGTTAGTTGTTAAAAATAAATTTCGATAACTGTTTTTATAGTCCTTATCTGTAAAGCGACAAGTACTATTTTATCTGAGTCACATTGTTAGACAGACCGGTATCATAAAGTATTTGATTACAACAACACAAACGAAGGTCAGTTACGATGATACAAGATCACGGCCGCAAACATCACATTAGGTAACATATTTATAATAGATGGAACAACCAAATTATTTATCACAGTATTTTTTTCTCTAATGTCTACGATGATTTTGTAGTTACAATTTAAACTGGCTGTGATTTCTTCATTACTTTATTTTCTATTAGCAGTGGTATCCTGACAAAATGATTATTTCTTACACATAGAACTTAAGTTATATGCACGCTTAATAGTTTTCGATAAACAATTCATGATCCAAGCCAATAATTACTGTGTTGTTCTTTCTTTCAAAAGTTTAAAATAAGACTTTTACATTTTTCATTGAAGTTCTTCTTCTTCTTAAATTTAATGGCACTTTGTGTGACCACAATACTGCCAACTTCAAGTAGGAGATCATTACACGATTTAAATACATTCATTGAACCAAACAATTTTGAATTACCAATTCTATCTTTCTACGTGGATTTTTCATTGAATTGATACATTTAACGTTCAACTTTCACGATTAAATCAATTGCATGCTCTTACATCTGACATCACAGAAGCCATAAAAACCGGCGAGTATGCATGAACAGAGTAATAGTTCATGAATAATGGCAAATAATGAGAGTGAATGTGGCGACCCGTACATTGTGGCGTTCGGTCCCCCCACCCCGCCAGGAATACGGCGTGAAGATATAGATGGACTTTTGAATTACTAAATAAATTTTTGAACGACCGTTTTAGATTCTGAACATCACTTTTTTCTCGGACACTGTGACGAATTTCTTCAAGCATCTTGTGTTGAACACTATGAACGAACGGGAATCCCATCAGATCATCAGGCCGGACATGATCCACCTGCTCATGGAGGCTAAGAAAGGTTGGACGTAGTTTCTTAAAATTTTCACCTTATAATATATTTTGTTCAATAAAAATGAACTACTATTACTGTGACCAAATCTTGGCCTAATAATCTATCGGAATTAAAAGTTATGTAACAACTATTGTAACAAGTTAATATTTGAATAAGATACGTTCAGAACTTTGGTGACATAGCTTTTTACTTTCATAAATGTATAGGACTGAGAAATCTGAACTACGTATGAGTTGAAGCCTCATCGATGAACTACGGTAATTGATATACAATGAACTTATTCGGAACTATAATCCTTTCAATTGATTGTTGTAAATGATTACATATTTAAATTTATACCACTCACATCGAGCAAGTAAATATTTCCACTGATTCAAAGTGAACAAGTAATTATTATTGAATTGTTACTACTTCACTTATGTTGAGTCAAGTGCATGCACATTTATTCTTTGTATACAATTTACAAACTAACAGACAATTAGACTTAGATCCATATCTTATTGTTTCTGATTACATTGATTGTTGTAATATTTTGTATGCAATTATCTCTAACAATATTCAGCGAGAGTTTCTTTATAAGAAAGTCTTCTTTATTCGAAAGCTAACGTTTATTTATATTGAAACAATAATGATGATAAGCCTTTGTACAATTTTACTCTATGAATAATGCTAATTATTAATAATTCAATGTCTACTACTATATATCTGGTACTTTCAAATATGTAATTGTCATTAGATTTGATAAGTTAACCATTGATATCACTTGTTACTTATCTGTTTGTTATTCAAGTCTTAATATGTTACTTGAAAGATCTTTGACTAATATTATTGAATAGGCATATTGAAAATCATTAAATATTTAATCCAATATTAATTAATTATCAAATAATGAGATTCATTTCGTCAGGAAAATTGACTCATGAAGACAACACTATAAATGGAGCTGATGCTGGATTCGCTGCAGTAGAAGAATCAAACGTTGGAAAGAATAATGTGAACAGAGGTACAACAATTATTCTTAAATTGGCCGATTTCATTTGATATTAATAATCAAAGTGCAGTCGTTAGGATATGATGGTTAGACAGCCTTTAATTTGACAGCACCGGAAGTGGTGAGATGAATACTGGTTACGGTAATCGTTGCGTAGTGTGCGGTAAATTGGAGGATGTTAAATTAGTTCTTTGTTTTTCTCAGTGTGGACCGATGATGATTTGGTAGCTCAAGCAATTATATTCTTCGTCGCTGGTTTCGAGACCGTCTCATCAGCTATGTCGTTCACACTCCACGAGCTGGCAGTCAATCCTGACGTACAGGACGTGTTAGTCGCTGAGATCAGGGAGAATGAGAAAAAGAATGGTGGCAAATTTGACTACAACTCCATTCAGAATATGGTGTATATGGACATGGTTGTATCAGGTGAGTCATCATACAAAATGGTGTTTATCAGATTATTTGATTTTAACTTATTGCCAATTAACATAAATTTATCATTATTATTACTTTACATATCTTTTGTTAAAACTTAAAAAAATATATATATTGCATACATAATTATTGTCAAAAATTAATGCTTTTGTAGAAGCTTTAAGGCTCTGGCCAGCAGCTCTAGGATTGGACAGAGTATGCACCAAGGATTATAACTTAGGAAGAGCTAACGACAAATGTGATAAAGACTATATCGTAAGTACTTTATTTTACAACCGACTTAGTAGCCAAACAATAGTTTGATTTTGTGTGGTAAAATGTTTTGCACGCGCGCCACTCAAGAGGATTATAAAATTGAAAGTCTAATACAACTAAAATAATGTTTATTTTCAGATCCACAAAGGCGAAGGCATATTTTTACCTATCTGGTGCATTCACCGTGATCCTCGGTATTATCCCAATCCTAACAAGTTTGATCCCGAGAGGTTTTCAGAGGAGAACAGACATCGGATCCAGCCATTCACGTATTTGCCATTCGGGGCTGGTCCTAGAAATTGCATCGGTAAGATTCATTCTTCAACCTTAAAACCTTCTATCAACCGAAAATCCTTAACGAGCTTTTAGAATTATTATGTATGTTAAAAAAATATAATTGAGTTTTGTACATAGAATGAGAAAGGCAGAGGAATCTAATTGTACTTTATGTTGTAGTTATCAATTTGTTTATATTCGAGGAATAAATTAATGAGGAGTTGTCATAACTTAAAATCGAATCAAGATAAATCAAGATGAATTGCTAAAGCACTCCCATTATGAAGTATCTGAGACAACGAAGGTACCGTTGTGGTGCCATTGACAACATAGACATCTATCCTTATCATGCGACGCCATGTAGTCTGCAGGCTGGTATCCTCTCCTTTAACTCCGAGGCGCTTCATGTATTTATGAATGTTTGCCAGACAGGTCGTTTAGAGTCCGCTCCTTGACATTTTCTTTGTAGCCATGAAAAGTAGCATATTTTGTTCCTGAGTGTCACTCCAATCAACGGAGTTCCTCAATGATATCAAAATTATTTTACTTATTCTTTTATTTTTTACAGGGTCAAGATTTGCTTTGTGCGAGGTGAAAGTAATGATCTATCAGCTCCTGCAGCACATAGAGATCTCTCCCAGTGATAAGACAGCTATTCCAGTGAAACTATGCAAAAACACTTTCAACCTTAAAATCGAAGGGGGTCACTGGGTGAGGATGAAGATAAGAGAATAGATCGAATTTAACGACTAATAAATAGAACTAATCGTATATATATACGAGTATGGTATTTTTTTATTATTGTAATTGATTACCTCAGTATGTAAAGTCAAATTGAAAATATATATTACAAAAATTTTGTTTAAATTCTATTACATGATGTTTTTGTTTATATTATAACATTATAAACTCCGTAACTATTGGTAATATAATAAATGATTATTCAATAAAATTTATTTAAATTGTTAAATTAAAAATGCTGTAGAGCAAGAACGGATAAAACATTTGGTACTTTTACAAAAAAAATATCGAAATTTAATTGTCAGCATAGTTAGTTTAAAATCAACTCTAATGTAAGTTTTCCTTTAGACAATTGTCAACTGTTACTCATTTGTACATTAACAACAATACACAACTAAATGTTAACTGAAATTACCTAGTTATAAATAATGAAGTACCTTATTTTGTAATTAATTATTATATTTGACATTTTAGAAAATTATAATTTTAATAATAATTTTGCATGCCAAGTGGCGAAATACGTAATAAGCTTCATAAGCACATGAATTGTGTGTCAACTTTATGTACCTACCTGTATTTGCAAATAAATAATATTTGAATTGATCTTGTTACATAAATTAATATTATAAAAGAGAGTTATCTACTTTACCCTCATTTTAAACAAATCAAATGTTAAATAATGTGTACCTATGTATAATATTATTATGTACCAGGAGTTTTTAGAGTGGCTGACCTAAATATAGCATAAAATTAGCAAAGTATATAATGATGTCACCTTCATACTAGAGATCTGTTATATACAACAACTAACTTAATTTTTTTCGTTACATGAAACAAATTTATTATACCTACTAGCTGGCCGCCCCGGCTTCTCCGCTTTTATGAAATAAGTTGCATTTAAATGTATTTACTGTATAAGTTTAATGTTACCTAAAAGACACATTGTTTAATAAAAAATATTATGATTGTAAATAATCTGTTTTATTATTTTACCATTTTGTTATCTCACCTCGGTCGCTAAAATTGAGTTTTTACCTTCTTTTATACTAATATTATAAAATTATTTGTTTTATTTGCAACGAATAGTCTCCGAAACTAATAGACCGATTTTATTAATTCGGGAAACGATATTATGTGTAGTGGATATAGGCTGAAACACCGGATATAATGCAAATAAAGGGATGAAAATGGGAGTGCAAGTTTGTATAGGGAACTAAAACGTTACCACAGTAACCGTCGACATCGACCCCAACTATCAAAAGGTAAAGCACTTCGCCCATGGTCAAGCACTTCGCACATCCAGATTCGCCCATGAAGTTTTACTTAGTAGTGTAGTGTACGAGCAACAACTGCGCGCTGCGCGCAACTCGACACACGTTCAATAAATGTTAATATAACTTAGTAGCAATAAATTATTTATTCGAACAACACAGTTTTGTCATTTTATAGTATCAATTATTTTCCGGGAAAGTTTCAGGAACTCTTATCATATCAGTAACAGTCATCTAAAGGTGTCTCAAACAAGTAGCAGGCATAGATTATCAAAAACGTTTCTTTTCTATAGCGTTTGTAGAAAAAGCAGTCATATATACGATTTTAAAAAATGTGCTGTAGCTCACTGCTTACAGATCTATATTTTATGATCCTTAATATCTATAAACATATTCGCAAAGATTTTTTGTTGCCATAGTAACGTGTGTTAGGGAGCCCTCTCTTACATTTTTAATAATCAGAGGCGGTCGGTCGATTCTAATTTTTTATTTCATAGAAAAGGGAGGAGATAATAACTGGCTTCTATACTTATATAATAAGCTATCGGATCTATTTTTAAAATCCGTTCACCTACTGAAAACTACATCTTAAGGGTTGAAATAGAATATAATTTATGAGCAAAATCGCAAGAAAAAACTAGTATATATAAATGGACTGAGGGTTTGATAGAAACCAGACTTAATGTGCTTTTTGCAGTATGGAGGAGCTTCAGATAATGAATTTCACCCATACAATAAAAATTGCTAAGCCTCTGTCCTTGTACCGAACAGCTAACAACTGCGCCATTCACCTCAGAAGATAAAGGAATTCAAATTCTTACTTATACTTTCTAATTATAGTAGTTTCATAATAAGCTCTGCAATTTCTTAAACTACTTACCTAATTATAAAAAAACACATATTAGTTGTTTTTTTTTTGTAACATAAAATTTATCTTTCATAACAATTTCATTCATCACGTGAATTAAAATGTTGCGCAACTTGTACAATATGTTACATATTATGCAAACGTTTTCCTCTTTCTTCATTCATAAGTAACAGGTTACCTGATAATAAAAGTTAATGCCACTAAAAGTTAATGCCACAACAAAATACTAGATTCTCTCAGGATCGGATGGGTGACCGGTATACTGGATACGGAAATTACGTGTATATTAAAAATCAAGCATTTCTGCATTTCATTTCTAAATTGAATGTATAAAAAACAGGCCTTACAAAGTTTTTTCTTCATCTCAGTACAAATTTTGGAATTACACAATTGCTTATAACAGTATAGAATAGACTCAATAAAAGATATTGTTTTTACACTATTATTGTATAAATCTGATTCATCGAAGGGATGGATAGATAAATATAAAACTTTATCATTTATTTGATAATATTCTGATTAACTCCACGCATGGTTACAGATTTGTGTATAAAACTCATCCTTTGGCCTGCGTACGCACAGTGTTCGGTCGTCACTTCTGCAGTAAGGACGAAACTAGTATAACAGGTTTTATTGAAGTAACGTGGTGAAGTGTGTCAGTGTTTGGAAACAACTTCAGTAAGTCTTATTTTAATATTGATAAAGGACAATTATGTGTTATAATAATAACATTATAAAAAATTATTAAGTTAATAATTTTCTATTGGTTTTTAAAATTTCAAAGCTTATTTGACAGTGGAAGTGGAAAAATATCCGGTAGAGCTGAGCATGTTAGAGTTTATCAATAAAAATGCGCATTTACACCTTGTATATTTATTTCTATTAATAAAAATACAATTGAAATTGACTTTTAAGCTGTATTCTTAAAGAATAGGGATAGAAATAATATCAATGTATAAGTTGTCAACTTTTGATAATATAATCGGTGTTAATGTTTGTCACCATTATTTTTGTCAGTCAAAAAAATTATTGACTTAAATCAGTTTTCAACTGATTTCTAAAAAGGAAGAGATTCTTAATCTGAGTCTCTTATATACTTTACCTTATCTTGCCGTGTTAGTCAGTCAAATCTTGTAAGCTTTTGACCTACTTCCTGAAATTTTTCATCAACATGTAATTTAAATACAATGAAATGTTACTATGGAATGGCACTGATCTGGTGATGGAGTAGGATGGTAGCCAATTAGACCTCTTTATCTAAACGAATATCCATCTAAATTCGACTCGTTTGATATCTTTTGACAATGACTAATCCGATGTAATATACAGAATGTGATGATGTAACTAGAAGGTACACATAAGAATAATGTAATCGAGTAACGTAAATCTGTCCAGTTCTGGCTCGTTTGATTTTTGTATATCAGACCTCTGGACTGACAAAGGCTTGTTTATAAAAGAATTTTATTAATTCGAGTTATTCACCCCTGTATACAATCTTATATCTTCGTAAATAGTGAACGGATTATAATAATATTAAAAAAAACTTGTGGCTATTACTAGAAATCAAATGTATGATTTTTTAATTTTGATACAGTGTAATCATAAAATTATCTTCAGATTATTAAAGTTTTCATTGAGCTGGTACAAAAACCTCTCGTGATGATGGAATCCGAAAAGAAGAAAGGACCATAAGTCCCATTGTGAATCGACTGTATACTTATACCGTAGGGACTAACGGCCGTTCAAAGCAAAAAAGAGGTCGAGATAATAAAGTTATATTCAACGATCCTGTGCTATAATTACAACACCATCGAGCTCCACTTTGAGTTTAATAATCACAACACATAAAGGAAACTGGCCATAAATTTTTCTCCTTCGGGGTCATGGAGGAGTCAGAAATAATAATATTAGCTTTGTGACAATAATCGAGATATGTAGTTATGTAAATGTCGTTTCACTACTGTAAGAATTGATAAGTTTACAATGATCTTTTTCCTTATCAAACGAATTACTCTCGAAATGAGTGGTAGATAAAGATGTTTTCGATGTTAAAATGCTTTCAACGAGATTATTTGATCATAAGTTTTTTTTTCATTTATTATCAAATAAACAAACAAAATATACATAACAAACAGTTTAAGATAACATCTAAAAACCACTGAGGTTTGAGTTGTGTTATCAGAGTTTACAACTTGTTTTTATTTTTGTAATTATAAAATCAAATCCAACATATTATTACAAATACAAACATTGCTATCAATAGACAATTACAATAATTGCCTAAAATGATTTACAATGTATTAAAAAAGTACCCCTTTAACTTGTATTTAATATTTTTTCCGGACATGCTGTTTTTTAAGTACAATATTGTCATCAGCTGAGAGTCTTCCGTTAATGAATTTCTTGCTTATATTCAATTGTCGGTCTAATTGTTCTAACTCTTGGCCTTCAAGAAGTTTTTTGTAGTTGTTAATTTTTCATCACACATAGTAATCGAGATGTATTGAAAGAGTTTGAACAGAATTTTGAACAATAGAGGTAAATTAAATAATTATGAATTCACATTAGCTTTTTGAAAGCACTTATAAATCGTCGATATTTTTTATCTATCAGTCCAGCAGGCCAAATCTAATGTTTACGTAAATCGCATCTCAATAGAATCTAAACTACTTGCATATTGCAGGCAGATAGGCCGATGGTCCTATATACCTGAAGTCCAATATTATTATATATCTATCACCATCGATGTGCGAGAAAGACGTTGCACTAACAATATTGGACTTTGGGTAGGTAGGACAATGGCGAATTGCAAATAGTTAAGATTCTATTTAGATACATTAGCAGAACTGGCCTGCTGAACGTATATTGGCCAATAAGAATAGGGAGCGAAAAAAATACCATCTTTAACATGAGTAACAACTATTATATTTGATTTTTCATTCACAATGCTATATTGAAGACTTTCCTACTGAAAAATGCTTAAAAACCACTCTGTAGTAGCGAAAAGTAACAAGTGCTTGAAAATTTCGTCAGTCCTGTTAGGTCCTGGGTAGCTCAGTGGTTAGAGCAGTCAGCCGGATTGGGAAAGGTCATGGGTTGAGTCCCATCTCAGAGTGCCAGGGCCATAGTGAATTTATTAAGAATTTCTCATTAAGAATATGTAACGACATTTGCATTAATTCTATTATTGCCAAAATAGTATATTATTGAAACAACAATAAAAAAAATATCTATACGTCATTGTTGCCGTTGTTCAGTGAAGTTCAGAAGCTCGATGGCTCTGTGGTTATCGCGTTCGGTCTCCGAAGCGGAAGTTTCGCAAGGGCCGGGTGGTAGGATGGGTGACCAAAATTTTGCTATCTTGAGTTTCTCCGTGCTTCCGAAGACACATTAAGCCGTTGCTTGGTCAGCCTGCGTTTACACCCACCCATCCGCACTGGATACGTGTGTTGGGTCATAGTCCATTTTCCCTATTTGATTAAATCACAGGGAAGTATACCCCAGAATGATTTAGAATTTGAAACACATTGCGGTTCGATATAACCATCAGTTAACATACAGAACGTACTACCTTCACATTACATTGAATGACTCATTTAGTCAAAACAACTATAATAAATTCGGTAAAAAATCGTTTCCTCATACGAGTCAATGACGACTGATGCACGTGGAAGGAAAAAATGTATTTTATTTTTCTAATAAAAACATTGATTTATTTTCTATAAAAAGTAGTGTGTACTAAAAATACAAATAAATTAACGTTGCATCTAGATTTCTAATGGTAATACTTAGTTGATTTATTTCTTTTAAAAAATATATGATAAGTAATTATTAGATTTCAATAAAAATTAACTAGTAAAAATCATTATATGATGTCTAATTATATAGCCGTTAAGAATGCTCGAACTTGAGTTTTTTAAGTAAGTTCGATTGGCAATTGCTTCTAGAGCTTCTGGCTGTATTTAAAAATAGATATAATTCTGTTAATTTTAAAATATAATTGATGTATGTTTTTTTTTTGAACAAAAATCAAAAGAAAGTGACTTTATAGTTTAATGTAATAAAAGGAGGGAACCCTCTCTGAATTTCTTGCCAGTTCTTCTCAGCACAAGCTCTCCTGCCTAGAATCACGAACTCCTGCCTTAGAAACAGACGAGACTTACTTTACCTAAATTAATTTCAGTTTGAAGAATTATTTTATTTTAAGAATAGTTGCAAAATTTAATAAAATATAATGTTTGATAAAAGTTATCAAATACAGTTATTACAAAAATATAGCCCATATCTGAATCTCAAAAGTAGCCCTTAGAAGGATATAAAGTGGGTTTGAAATTAACATCAACTATAAAGTTCTCGGCAATAAAAAACAACTTTAATTCTATTCCCGTATATTGATTAGAAAGGTGAACGATTTAAAAACAATGTAAATTGTATGTTATCATCATTATGGGCACAGTCTATACTGATATAGTCGTATTTTTATATGATAATGTAGCTCAAAGATGTTTTTTTATTTTGATGATTTTTTATTTTACAAATGCGTTTGAAAGTTTTCGTTTTTATCAGAGATAAAATGGTCTGTGAAAGAACTGACTAAGCATTAAGAGATATGTAATTAGAGTCAGAAAAATGCACTATAAACTTGGTACTCATGAATGGCTCTCTAATCCTTGTCTTGTAAGGGGTCCCTCGTCTTGTCTCTCGGCAGCAGCATATCACAACAAAAGTTTACTATTTTTATCATATAAACGCCAATAAATGCCTAATTTCAATATCAAATGCGATAAAACGGAAACACCAAATTCAGAATATTTCTGAGCGGTGACCGAACAATTCAGTGCATAAGATTAATGAACGACTACTTTAATTTAATTTTATAAAAAGGTATGTAGATATGAATATATGCATTTTATATTTGTCCAATTTGTTCACAGGCAATGTTATTCTTAATATGGTGCTTGGCGTTAGTGACAGCGTTGTGGCTGTACCTCAGACAGCGATACTCGCGGTTTTCTGCGTATGGAGTGAAGCATTTCCAGCCAGTCCCACTGATGGGCAACATGACTCGAGTCATATTTCGTATGGAACACTTCGCAGACCAAGTGAATAGAATTTACTCGGCTTTCCCTGATGAGAGGTGCGTTCTGGGTTTTCTTTTTAATGAGGAAGTAGAAGGTCTCACTGCTCCAAAATATTATTAGCTTGATGATACCTTTAAAATAAATCATCAAAAAATCTATCCCAGATATATGTCTCATAAAATATTTCATTAAAATGTGTCACATTTTTTCCTGACATTTGATGGGTATAACATAACCTAAACATTACACCTTATCTTATTCCTAAATATGACTTGGACAAGTTTTAAAGAACAAGTCGAAAAACGTGTGCACTACAACTAAAACTTGTACTCAAACAATGTTTAATCAATGCACAAAAAAAAATACTATTTATTATATTGTATCGATCTAAAGTGGTTGTGGGATATTCATTACTGCGAGTGATAATGTTTAACATTGAAGTACCCTTTAATATAGATTTAACTCACATAGATCTGACAAAATCAAAATTTTTATACCTTAAGGCACTATTTTGGAACCATTTTTAATGACGTGATACCAATTTCGTATAATATTAAGATCATATTGAAAATATTATGAATATGAATAAAAAAACTATGTTTTATAGATTTATTGGACGATACGAGTTTTTAAATCCAATGGTGGTGATAAAGGACATCGAATTGTTGAAAAAGATAACTGTAAAAGACTTCGAGCACTTTCTGGACCACAGGACCATGGTCGATGAAAAGACCGATCCATTCTTCGGAAGAAATTTATTTTCCCTAAAAGGTTATTGTTGTTCACCTAGTAAATAATAACAAATAAGATTAGATAGGTAGAATACATAATGATTAGGAGGATATAATACTAAGGAATTTATAAATAATTTTGTTATATAGGTATATTTTTGTTTCATAACTTTGAACAGTGTATTGAACAATTTATTAAATTTGAGGATAAGATCAATAAGTCTCCTTTTTAGGTCAAGAGTGGAAGGATATGCGATCGACTCTGAGTCCAGCTTTCACCAGCTCTAAGATGAGGCTCATGCTGCCTTTCATGGTGGAAGTAGGTAACCAGATGATAGAAACACTCAAAAAGAAAATCAAGGATTCAAAAAGTAAGTAGATTCCACTTTGTTTTTTATTTAAGAGTGTGCTAAAACTCAGAAAAGAATCAGCTTTTTAACCCTGCGTCAATAGCAGACATTCATAGTATGTATATGCAAAAACACAAAATGGCATCACTGTGACGTCACGGCACATACACACAATTTAATAAATTTTCCCTATATAAAAGAGTAAAATAACGAGAAAAAAACAAATTAATGGTGAATTAGAGGTAACTTTGTGATTTTTATAGTGGTCAGTTACTAATTAGAATACGTAGTTTGGTCATATTTAATTTCTACTTCTTTGGCCATTATTTTTTTCTATAAAAGGTTTTTAATTACTAAATTTCAGCGGACGCGCCCTCTTGATATTTTACTTTAATACAGACAAAAATAAGGATGTTTGTTTAAATAAAATGTCTTGTTTTAGCAAAATCTATCGATGTGGACTGCAAAGACTTGACCACCCGATACGCTAACGATGTGATCGCGTCATGTGCTTTCGGCCTAAAAGTGGACTCTTTGGCAGAGGAGAATAATGACTTTTACAAGATGGGCAAGGAGGCCTCCACCTTCACCTTCAGACAGATCTTGATGTTCTTCGCCATGGTTAATTTTCCGAAATTAATGAAGGTGAGAAAATGTACTCCGTTTGCGTTATTTTGACCATTGAATGCTATAAATAAAATATTAAAAACGTGAAAAAAAATAAACATAGTTAAATAAACAAACAATTTCAATAAATAGATTTGCAACATTACTTACTTTAATGGAACAGCGTATGTATTTTAGTCGCTAATAAATTATATACTTTTTAAAGTATATATTAAGCCTAATTACATATTACACCTTATCTCTAACGCGACAAGTACTATTTTATCTGAGTCACATTGTGAGTATTTGATTACAACAATACAAATGAAGGTCAGTTACGATGATACAAGGTCACGGTCGCAACACCGTATGTGTAGTATTTTTCAACAGGTTTTTCAATCCCTTTGTTTATTAAATCATTTCAATTTAGGTATATCAAAATATACCTACCCTTGTATTACATTATCAAGCTAGGATTTATAACACAGTCACTGCTATTAATAAACAAAGTTTACCGTCGGAGTTTATTGCTATTTTGCACTTAGTTTAGGCAAACTTACTTACCTTTGAAAAGTAAATATTATTTCTGTATTAGCATATATAATAGCAGTTATGGTATTAAGTCAAACTGTTTAAAAATATGATTTTTGACTAACGCGAAGTGCAATTTTATCAGAAATTTACTCTGAGATTAAGCTTTATTATTTTTCTGAATATCCACATATTTTATCATTTTGCATTTTTCGTTAAGAATATTATCCATGGTGTATTCAATAGTGAGTCCACTGCGAACTCTGCTTATTATACCTTGTTTTTTTATTAAAGCTGTATCATCAATCTTAAAACAATTATATAAAATTGCAGCGGGTAATGGTAGTGAGGTGTACCAACACTTAACTGATTTACATCAGTCGCTCCACGGAACAAAATATGTATCATATCATTATTTTCTAAAATTTTACAATGATATACATATAATTTTCAGATTTTTTATTTTGGTTTAACTTAATAATCAGATAATCTGCTGAATGTGTTGTCTTAGCTGATATGCTGTGTGAATCACCAATGAACTAAATAAATCATAAACTATACTACATCTGTTACAGATGCTGAAAATAACATTGTTCAAAGAAGCCGTTACAAATTTCTTCAAACATCTCGTGAAGGACACCATGAGTGAACGGGAGGCGCACCAGATCATCAGGCCGGACATGATCCATCTACTTATGGAGGCCAAGAAAGGTTGGAAGTACTCCCACATATTTACTTCCTCTGTTTCTTATCCTTAGCGTACAAATACTCAATGGGACGTATGAAATTAATTAATAATAATGTGTTATTACAATAGAAGCATTTATTTATAATATTTGTATCATTATCGATAGAGTTATTAACAAAATCTCCCATTTTGAAATTTGTGAAGCGATCCCATTATACTATGGCATTTCGAAATAACCGAAACATATATCAAGTGTATTGATTTCTCGATAAATTTATCGATTGTTAGATCCAATATAATACCGGTTATGTAAACGCAATGTTGAAAACTGTGTCAGTGTTAAGAGCACTAAACAAAGCATCAACATTGTTAGAGCAAATTTGAACGCACGGAGAGGTGTAATCTATTTGAAAAACTTCGCCAATATTTCGTACAAAAAACAATGCATACCTATAATGGATGAGTAAAGATTTTCCTATGGTTTCAATCGAGTGGATGGTTGAATGCCATGTGTTGTTACAATGAACATGTGCTGTGTACAAATTATTATATACAATTACAGTTATTCACCGAATCTAAATAAATTTAACATTCAAGTAGTTTGAAGAAATTTGATATTTTGTAGTAACAGTGTGCTGTGGCAATATAACACTTGGTCGCAGTAGTTTAGTGGCATCTATAGATATTTTAACTCATCATTAAATATGTTTTGTTGTACCACCAACATCCCCACAAGTCAAAAATTTAATTTACTTGTCGTATGTCGATAATTCCACGCGCACTATTAACTTTACGCTATGTAAGATATGGGGTCTTTTTAATATCTGTTAAAATTCAATTCAATGTCAATCAAAATAAAAAAATGATATTTTTTTTTACATTCAGGCCAGTTAACACACGAGGAGAAAGGTGTAAACGGCAATGATGCTGGATTCGCTACAGTTGAAGAATCCAATGTTGGAAAGAAAAATGTGGACAAAGGTAAGTCCAAAGATTTGGTGAACTATCTTAAATATATGAAACTAAATGCTTTGATTATTATAAAGACTATAGTATAGATTCCAAATGTCCAATTACTCGTGCTATTAATTTTGTATTGAATATGAATGTCATCAGAATACAGTAAGTAGATTTGTTAAATAAATCAAACTAAATGAAACTTGTATAGTATCATCACCCCATCAAAAGTAATGAAAATAAAAATATTTGATTCATTATATTAAAATACACTAAATTTAATAACACAACTGTTTTTGTCAGTGTGGACCGATACTGATTTAATCGCCCAAGCGGTATTATTCTTCATCGCCGGCTTCGAGACCGTCTCATCGGCAATGTCGTTCGCACTCCACGAGCTGGCAGTCAATCCTGATGTACAGGACAAGTTAGTCGCTGAAATCAGGGAGAATGAGAAAAAGAATGGTGGCAAATTCGACTACAACTCCATTCAGAATATGGTGTATATGGACATGGTTGTATCAGGTGAGTCAACGCGTGAAAAACAGTGAACTATGCAATTCTGTAACTATCGCTTATTATGAATGTAATACCTAATTGCAGATTAAATTGGGTTAATATAACCATTGAATATTTGAGTATCATTTTTCTGTATAATTTTAATAAAATGTTAATTTTTATAGATAAGATAACCTTTCAAATGTATATACATTTTATAAAATAGAAAAGATTCACGAATTCTATCCCTAAACGATTTTAAAATATAAAACAATGTCGTAGTCCTTGACAATATTGTAATTTTTCAGAGGTATTGAGGTTCTGGCCAGCAGCTATAGCATTAGACAGAGTATGCACCAAGGATTATAACCTAGGAAGGGCTAACGACAAATGCGATAAAGACTATATTGTAAGTCCTCATATACGTCGTCTTTCCATTGAAAGTGACATATACACAAAAGATCACTATTTTTGTTTTAGTTATCTAAAGTTATTAAGAATGTCATTTATTGCCAATGGCAAATTAATTTGTTTAGTTTGACGAATTATTACAATAAGTTAAACTAACTTAGATCTGATCTTTGCAAAATATTGAATAAAAATTCCCTTCATACATGTGGTACAGATTCGAAATATCACCTATAGTATCTTAAGAAATGAATGCACTAAAACATAACTATTCATTGATAAGTTCTTTGAGTTCCTCAAGACCTTCCTAGTAGTCGCAGTGATACCGTGGGTTAAGAAGGAAATAATGAAAAATAAGCCAAGGACATAAGGTACTCACCAATTTTTCTTTTTCCAGATTCACAAAGGTGAGAGTGTGATGATACCCGTTTGGGGCATTCACCATGATCCTGAGTACTATCCCAACCCTAACAAGTTTGATCCCGAGAGGTTTTCGGAAGAGAACAAACATAGGATCCAACCGTTTACGTTTTTACCATTCGGCGTGGGACCTAGAAATTGCATCGGTAAGATACATTCTTCAAATATCAGCAAAAATGTATGGCATATTCGAAATTTAGTTTGTTTATTTGGGAGCGTAATGCTATAATTTGTGTCCTGACTTAATTGGAATGTGCCTAGTATCTTTAATGCCTAGTGAGGGAATGGTTGAGACATCCAAAATGGTTCTTCTGTAATATTCCAATGATCCTTCTTCCCCGATGGAGACTCGATGTACATATTTTTTTATTCAATTAGCAATACTTTTAGTTGTTATTTTACTCGCTGTAATTTATAAATTCATGAATTTTTTGCTACACAGGATCACGATTCGCGTTGTGCGAAGTGAAAGTAATGCTGTATCAGCTGCTACAGCACATGGAGATCTCCCCGAGTGACAAGACCGCAATTCCGGCGGAACTGTCCACAGAAACTTTCAACCTCAGAATCAAAGGAGGACACTGGGTCAGGATGAAGATAAGGGAATAAATAACTATGCGCTATAAATACAAGATACTTTACAATCTTATATCATTGTCCTACCCTAACGATACAGAGTGAATTTTATTAAATTCTAAACTTGATTCATTAATTATAATAGAGCAATTGTGAAACAATCTATTAACGATATGGAAATGTTTAAAAAGAAATACTTAAAAGAACAGATATAATCAAGTAGATTTTTGTACTTTTAATGGCGTCGTTTGATGTTATGATTTATTTTGTATTTTTTAACATTTTTGTTTTAAAATAAACCTATTTATTGAAAAATATCAAAAGAACATAATCAATAACAGTACCCCGTCCAGTGCCTATTTGTTACATTAATTTAATGAAAAACTTTATAAAGTTTAGTACAATTTACATTATTAATTACTTAAACGAAGGCGAAATAGTTCTAAGAGGAAGGTATTAAATGAAATCCTTTAGTTATTATCATCATTTAGTTGCACACGTTACAATAGGAATTATAAATTCCAGTTATAACATTGAATAATATTTAAAAAAGTGCCTCTTAAATATTATTTTGTAACTATTATGTATACCATAATCTGTAGAAGATTTATGTAAATTATAAGATGATGTAGTGGTTACCGCGTCCGGTTTTCGATGCGAAAGTCAAGTAACGAGCCGATCATCGGATGGATGTCTAAATAATTTGCTATCTCCAGCTCCGAAAGATACGTAAACACGTTGATCTCCGCTGTATTTGCAGTTTGCCCACCAATCTACATTGGGCCCGTGCCATTCTCCTTATTTGATCCCACCCATAGGGAAGGCCTGTGTGTGCAGTGGGAACGTTAATAGACTGATGATGATGATAAGAATATATTATATTTAAGATTTCTAGATATAATGACACCAAGAAAAAATAAAGTTTCATGAAAATTATTATGAATATATTGTTTTATTAGCTATCTAAAATTCTTTTAGCTCTTATGGTAATATGTTTTGTTCAGTAAGTAGTACTAGATAAAAATAATCATCAAACATTTTTCGGTATAGCCACAGATTTATTTCTGTGGGTATAGCATTGAAAGCAAAATTGATCAAATATAATTGAATATAATATTGAAGGAACTTTAGAAATCTCTTAATCATGAAACAAATTAACCATATGAGTCCTAACCGACTCTATACAAATGTTTGTCTGAAGAAGTTTAAAAATAGAATACCCAATTTTCAATAAAATATAATACGACTTAATTAAGAGACAAGTATTTTAATATCTAACGTTTATCAGTTTCTATATCTTTTCAATTTAGTCGCGTTGTCTATTTACATTTTCATGGACAGAGCTCATCAGTGTTCAATAGAGTGTCCGTCAGTAAAGACGTCGATTTAGAAATTACAATGTTTTTGAGCTGATACGAGGTATAGTGAGTTGTATTATTGTTGTGATTTTGAGTACAGTATCAAACTCTTTCAACTACGGCAGTAGTATGTGGTATGATTTACTGAAATAATCACTGTCTGTAGTTATAAAAATAAAACAAGTATAAAAATAAAAACTTGTATCAAATATTCAATAAAACCTGATAACATTTTCTATCAGGTATTCAGATTGCCACCTGCCATACGAATAACAATACAATATCCTCATTTAAACTGTTGTAAATAAATAGAAAAACACTTATCTGACAGATAAACTATCACGTAAAGTAAAGGAAAGGCTTATTTATGATAATTTCCTCTGATAAGTTTCTAATCAAAAAAAATATATGTATTAAAAATAGATGATGTTAATCCTGATATGGCTTTTGGTGCTGATAGCAACATTGACAATATACTTCTGGAAGAGGTACTCAAGGTTTTCCGAGTATGGAGTGAAACACTTCAGTCCAGTCCCATTGCTTGGCAACATGACGGCCATCGTGTTCCGTTTTAACCACTTTACCGATCAAATTCAGAGTCTCTATGACGCATTCCCTGATCAGAGGTATGTTCTTTACGTCAGAGATTAGCAAAATTTAAACCTTATTAATGGTGACATAGAAATTTTCATTTTAAACGGAAATGAGTATGATGAGTTCAACACAATCTTTGTTAGGTGTATTATAGTAAAATATTCGTTAATGAGGATTATGTTGTGCCAATCGTTGCTTAAAGTCAATAGTAGTTACTTGATATTTTAACTTCCTTAAGTAACTTTCTAAATAGATTTTACCAGTGAATCTAAAATCGGATAGATGACCGAAGATCTTCATTAATTTATAATGGTTCTGGGTAAATCTGCAATTATTTCTATCCACTAAATCTGGTTAGTTACAACCCGTTTTTATGAGGGGGAAGTCTGTTAGGACATCGCTAACGATGATAATGATAAACAGTTCATTAACTATATGTAATCGTCCTTCCTTATAATCGATTACGGATATTAAATATCTTGTAGTCAACCTGGAACCTGGTAACCTAATACTTAATAATACCTTATATGTAAACCTGGAGTAATTTAAATATTACATCAATGTCCATAGCTTTGTTGGATGGTACGAGTTCATGAAACCAATGATAATGATAAAAAACATTGAACTTATCAAGAAAGTTACCATCAAAGACTTTGAACATTTCCTGGACCACAGGACCATAGTCGATGAGAAGATCGACCCCTTCTTTGGGAGGAACTTATTTTCGTTGAAAGGTAACTTATTTTCTTGAACTATAGGTGTAATACTTACATCTAATATGACAACTATATACAATATACTCGGTCATATACCCACACCAAAATTTAATTATGTATTTAATAGTAGACTTTTCATTTCTAAAGGTCAAGAATGGAAAGACATGCGATCAACTCTTAGTCCAGCTTTCACCAGCTCCAAAATGCGCCTGATTGTGCCATTCATGGTAGAAGTGGGCCACCAAATGGTAGAAACATTAATAATGAAGATCCAACAATCAAACAGTAAAAATTACTCATTATTTTATAAAATTTTACTAAAAAATTTATTTAATAAAATATTGAAATTTCTAAAACAACAATAATTCAAAATGTTAAAATAAAATCTTGTCATTGCTAAAAGTAGGTGGGTGATATTGGTTTTAAGTATAATAATTTCATAATTACTATGATTGATTTAAGTATGATTTAGTACTATTGATTTTTTTCTTTAGCACATTATATTGATATGGACTCCAAAGACCTTACTACTCGATACGCAAACGATGTGATCGCTACTTGTGCTTTCGGATTAAAGGTTGATTCTTTGAGGGAAAAAAATAATGATTTCTATAAGATGGGAAAAGAGGCTTCCGATTTCAATATACGAAAGTTCATTCTATTCTTCGCTGCGAACAGCTTCCCAAAAGTCATGAAGGTAAGAAATCTCAAGCTAAAACAATTTTGCAAAAGTGTTGTATATAAACCGGTGATTTCTTGCAGTTCTTGAATATCCAGATATTCAAGGATATCACAAAAAAGTTTTTCAAGCATATTGTAATAAGTACCATTACCGAACGAGAGTCCCAGAACATCATTAGACCGGATATGATCCATTTTCTTATGGAAGCCAAAAAAGGTATGATACACTTTGCGTATCAGAACTGAACATTGTTTGTAACATGTCTAAAATGCCTCCCAAATAATATGAAATTTTTAATTAGGAAAGCTACTTCATGAAGAGAAAGTCACAAGTAATTACGATACTGGCTTCTCTGCTGTAGAAGAATCAAATATAGGAATGAAAAAAGTTGATAAAGGTACTGTGATGCATACAGTTGTGATTATTTATAAGACATTAGATATTCTATGTCAAAGACGTGATATCGACCTTTTCTATTTCGACATAAAAGTTAATATCAATGCGTTGTACTTTTGTTAGTGTGGAGCGATGATGATTTAGTAGCACAAGCGATATTATTCTTCATCGCCGGCTTCGAGACCGTCTCATCAGCTATGTCGTTCACACTACATGAACTGGCAATAAATCCTGACGTCCAAGATAAGTTAGTCGCTGAGATCAGAGAGAATGAGAAAAGGAATGGTGGTAAATTTGACTACAACTCCATCCAGAATATGGTCTATATGGACATGGTAATATCAGGTAAACAATCATATTGATTCTAAACATTTAAACGGTTTCATAATTTGAGTTTAGTTTTATTAACGTTTCGGACCCTTTATAGGTTCCGTGTTCACGTGTGTTAGGAGGACCCAAGTATTACATAGGATTGACAACCCAAAATATTTGCGGCTGAACAAAAAATAATAAACCGACAATAAAACTAAATACAAACACGATGGAACCCTTTAAAAGTTGTTTCATTTAAACAATCATATTTAAACCATGTTTAAAAATGAAGATATATAGAAATATTAATAGGCAATTTTTTTATCAATTGGATAAAGACGAATATGATTGTATATTTTCAGAGGTATTAAGACTTTGGCCACCAACACTAGTATTAGACAGGGTCTGCAATAAGGTTTACAACATTGGGAAAGCTGAAGATAGCTGTGATAAGGAGTACATAGTGAGCATTTTATACTAAACATTATTAAGTTTAAATAAAATAGAAAAAACTATATGCAAATAGAAGAAATATGTTATAAATTACACATTTTTTTTATTTTAGATTCGTAAAGGCGAAGGCGTGACTATCCCCGTTTGGAGCATCCACCGCAATCCAAACTACTATCCTGATCCCCATAAGTTTAATCCTGAAAGGTTCTCAGAGAAAAACAAACACAAGATCCAATCTTTTACATATTTACCATTCGGAATTGGACCTAGAAATTGTATTGGTAAGAAACACCTCACCAATAACAGAAATACGTAATATATATCCATGTTTGTTCACTTCGATACAAAGTAGTTCGATGAATAATTTGAAAACCATTCAGGATATTACAGTAAATACTTTTACAGGTTCAAGATTCGCGTTATGCGAGATCAAGGTGATGTTGTATCAACTGTTGAAGCTGATCGAGATAACTCCAAACGATAGGACCGTAATCCCGGTGAAACTCTGCAAACAATCATTCAACCTCAGTATAAAGGGAGGTCACTGGGTGAGAATGAAGATAAGGCAATAGACGAAGAATATCATCAATAAGAATTAAATGAATTTACCAATAAAAATATAAGATTAGTAATTGTTAAACAATAATAAGCGATGATATCAATGAAACTATTAATTAAATAATTCATGTATTTATACATATCCATTTGTTTTATTTTTAGAAGTACTGATTACTTTCTGATTTTATTAAAGAATTGTTTTTCTATACATATACAGATAATTCATATGTGAATATAGTATTCTTGTGGATATCAATATACAATAAAATATATTTTAAAGCTCTTTAAAAAAAATCTTCTCCTATTAACTTAAATAAGTTCAGTAACTGATTAGTGTACTTCAGTCTGTAAAGAAATATTCTAATATGAAGTTTGAACATATTTTTATCAAAAACTCGTTTATTATCACCTATTTACTAACAATATTAACCTTTAATTTTATGATATTTCATTTAATAATATTTATTCGTTGACCCTATTCTATTATTACACGTATATTAACAATTCGTTGGGTAGCACTAACACAGTTTCCAATCGTCCGTTCGCCTGTGTGGACGAAATCAATTGTGTTGGAGTGATTTATTCATAGTTTTTGTTAGAAGTTCACCAATCAGGTAAGTTCTTTTGCGTTTTGTTTGTATTTATGAATGTACATAAACTATAAATAAATGATAGCCTATTGATTATGGAAATCGGTAATAAGGAAGGGATTAATGGTATATGGAAATGAGATAATTCTGAGATAGTTAATTTTGTTGATGAACTGATACGGAAATCGTGGATTTATTAATTCTCTACGTCATGATAGTGGCTATAGAAATTACATTTGAACGAGGTAACATAAGTTGGCTTTTTTTTCTCAGGCCATGTTGTTTTGGATATGGTGCGTGGTGTTAGTGGCGGCGTTGGTGCTGTATCTGAGACAGAAGTATTCCCGGTTTTCTGCTTGTGGAGTAAAATATTTAAGCCCAGTCCCATTGCTGGGAAACTTGACGCGAATGTTATTCCGCATCGACCATTTCTCGGACCAGATACTCAGACTTTATAACGCATATCCTAACGAAAGGTATGATAGAAAAATTTACAATGAATTATAATGTATTTATTTAACTCGACGACATAGTAGGTTCGTTTGTGAGCGCAATCGATTTGTAATTATTGGGGTTAAGCTTGGGTTTAGCAGTTTTCTCATCCGTTATACTGATGAATGATAATAAATTAATACACTTTCAACAAATTCACTTTTTATGGTAATTTAAAGATTTGTTGGGCGATTCGAGTTCCTGAGCCCAATAGTGATAGTGAATGACTTTGAGCTAATCAAGATGATCACCGTAAAGGACTTTGAATACTTTCTGGACCATAGATCTATGATTGATGAGAAATGCGAACCGTTTTTAGGGAGGAACTTATTTTCTTTAAAAGGTAAGAACATCTTTCAAAATCAAAACTAACAAAATTAAGTTATTACGGAACCTAGAAAGGGCCTAAAAAGATCATGAAGTCATATATTAACACGCTACAACCGATCAAAATTGTTTTATTTCATATCTAATAATAATATATGTACTATGACAAATTACATTAAGTTAAAATACTTTTTGGAAACATCTCGAGAATTTTTCCTAAAGAATCTATTGTTTCATCAAAAATTTATTCTTAATACAAAATGCTGAACATTGATGAGAATACGCTCTGTAGTAGCGAAAAGTAACAAGTGCTTGAAAGATTCGTCAGTCCTGTTAGGTCCTGGGTAGCTCAGTGGTTAGAGCAGTCGCCCGGATTGCGAAAGGTCGTGGGTTCAATTCCCATCTCAGGGTTCCAGGGACCAAGTGGATTTTTTAAGCGTTTTGTATTAAGAATAATTTCCAGTATGCCATTGTGAATGCAAAATTAATCAAAAATATAATCATCAAAAATATGTCGGTAAATATCTAGAGATCTACACCAATTTATTTTACCACTTGTAATAGGCCAAGAATGGAAGGACATGCGATCAACCTTGAGTCCAGCTTTCACCAGCTTAAAGATGAAGCTAATGGTACCTTTCATGGTGGAAGTAGGTAATCGGATGATCGAAACATTAAAAAAGAAGATCAAGCAGTCCAAAAGTGAGTTTAAACAAAGCTACTCTTTAATAACTAAATAATAAAAAAATAAAAAGTCATAATGATTTTATTAATGTTATTTGTTTGAATAATATAATCTCTTCTCTCTGAGGTATAATATATTGATAATATGATTATTCAAATGTTGTCGACACCATAATGGTAGACTGTAGTTAAAAAAAAAAAACAAGCTTTTTATTTGTGCTCAATAAACGTAAATAAATAAATTCTAAATATTTAAAGTACTTATAATCAAATTTTTCTCTAACAGTAAAAACGTACAAAGCTGTCGTCAATAAGAAACATATATTATTTAAAATTATTTTTTAGCCCGATATTTAGACATGGATTGCAAAGAGCTAACTACCAGGTACGCTAATGATGTCATCGCCTCCTGCGCATTCGGAATAAAGATAGATTCTATGGTCGATGAGAACAATGAATTTTACCAAATGGGTAGGGAGGCTTCCTCCTTCAACTTCAGACAGCTAGTATTGTTCTTCCTATCACAAAACTTCCCAAAGATCATGCAGGTAACTATTATTATCAAATCAAATCAAAATTATTTATTCAGTCTAGGCTGTTACAAGCACTTGTGAAAGTCGAGAGCTACGCCATCGGTTCGTAAATCTACGGCGGGAGACCTTGTACCGAGAAGAACCGGCAAGAAACTCGACAAGTGCTGCTTTTTTCTCCCTGTTTTATTTCATACAGAGCGTCAAGATTGAAAAATAACTTCATTAAAATTTGAAGTCACTTTCCATTACAATATTAGAGTAAAACAGTATTTTCGTCAATCCAATCAAAGGACATCGCCGAAAATGGCCCCAATACCATTAAATATTAATACTTCAATAATAATTACTAATTTATTTATTAAATTGGAATCAAATATTTATTTGACACGGACAAGCTGCGATCCAAAATTAATATTTAAAAGTACTTTAACAGTAACATTTTTATTCGCAAATATTCACATTCAATATACTTAAATTCTATTGAGTCAGATGGATGTAATTTACACGTCAGATCAAGAAGATCATTTATTTTTATTAGATAACCTTTAAATCATCGAACCCAAAAACATTAAATTAAATTGACCGAAAATAAACTTAAATTTACTAAAAGCGCCATCTCTTGGTGATTTTCCAACTAAAACATAAGGACATAAAAACTGAATATTATACAAACTAAATTCATTAACTGTTGATAATTCACTCTTGTTTATTCAGAAAGATTAATATTCATACGACATTCATACGACCTTTATATTTCTCGTAAACATATTAACATCATGTCATTTATGTATTTAAGGCGCCATCTTTTGATGTAAACCGTCAAAAAGCTATAGGTTTTTTTTTAATTTTAAGCTTATCGATAGGTATATTATTTATCTATTAGAATGATTTATTTGTCTATTGATTGACTTAGAAACTTTTACAAATCACAACGAAAAACCGACTTTCTTAAAGTTGAGTTTTTTTGCTTCGACAATATAGACATCAATATCATATCATGTAATTAGAGTGTCATCTCTTGGTGGTTTTCCAAACAAATTATAACCTCAAAATGAATTATATTTTGCGTGATCACGGTTTATCTTAATAGTCTATACATATATTACTATATATATTGTATTATACAACATATATACTATATATATGACATATGTCACTGGCACAGGCATTGTGATGCTTAGAATATCAGATAAGGTAAATAAAGATTTTTTCAAATTTGTTTTCATTAAAGATTTTGAACATAAGAAACCCAAAGAATTCTAAATATTGATCTGTTACTTACTTTTCCAAAGATTTTAGAAATGTGTAACAATATAAACTTTTAATCAACGTTTAATTAAATCGAGAAATGCTAGATTATTTGTTCAGATACAAAATATTCTTCAAATGTAAGCGATAAAGGATTGTATGAGATGATTCCTATTCATATCGTGTCATCGTAGGCAATACACGAAATTGTCTCAAATTGACCAATTTATTATGCCAATGCCATAGCTACAACGTCGGTACTACGCAGTTCACATGACGAATTTCTTCAATGTTTTATCATACAGATACAATAACAAAACTATAAACTTTGTTCATTTCAAATAATTATTTAGGTTTTCAAATAATACGTTGCATGAATATTTATTTCATTTCTAGTTAAAAGAATTAAATGTAAAGTCACAATAGAACCTCTTACGTAATCATATCAAGCAAATAATCAGTTTTCAATATGCTTCACCTTGACAAATGAATATCTTGACCCTCAATAATTGAGTTTGTAGAATATTGGAATACATGACGAAACTTGGGATGCTGTGTTTGTGTTATGAAGATTTGATACAACGAATAGAACATAACACTCAGGTGGTTGATGTGGAGGAGCTCGAGGACCGATGGGGCTAAGTTTAAAGGGTGAACACATTCAGTATATGATGATAAGTTAAGCACCTTTCGAGAAGGGCCATTCATATGATGGATGACCATAAATTTGTCTTATCTGGAGTACTTACTTGCTATAGGAGGCACTGACATAGGCTGATGTCGATCACTTAAGAAAAAGCTCAAAAACATGGTTTAAATAAAGAAACCTCATTCTATTAATTTATATTTCTGGATTTGTTGCAGTTTCTGAAGATCGAAATTTTCAAAGAAGTAACTAAGAAGTTTTTCAAACAAATAGTGATGGGTACTATGAATGAACGGGAGGCAAAGCAGATTGTAAGACCGGACCTAATCCACCTTCTCATGGAGGCAAAGAAAGGTCCCTACTTTTTTTTTATTATTTTAATGTATTTTTTAATAAAACTGCAAAGAAGAATATGTTGACAAATATGTAACATGACAAAAGACCAGCAAAATATATTAATCCCTTTTTTGGAATTTTCAAAAACGTCTTCTCCTCAGGAAGGCTGATATATGAAGAACAGACCTCATGCAGCTCTGATGCTGGATTCGCAACTGTAGAAGAGTCAAATGTTGGAAAAAGGAATGTGGACAGAGGTACAATGATTTTATTATATTTACAATTACAGATTCTAGAACTCTAAAAGTGTTGTGTTGAGTTTCTGCTCGGAAGCATATTTTTTTTTATATAATTAAATTTCAAGGCTATCATAATGCTTGATTTCCACTTTTATTTTTTTATAACTATCGATCTTTTAAAGCGATTGTAATCCAAAGACATTTTTTTTTAATATTATATACATTTTTACAGTATGGGCTGATGATGATTTAGCCGCTCAAGCTTTTGTATTCTTCATCGCTGGCTTCGAGGGCATCTCATCATTGATGTGTTTCACTCTCTACGAACTAGCTCTCAACCCTAATATCCAGAAAAAATTGTTTGCTGAGATCATGGAGAATGAGATCAAAAACAACGGCAAATTCGATTACACCTCCATACAAAGCATGGTCTATTTGGACATGGTGATATCAGGTAATACTATTTTATTTTTAATAGACTTTCTTTACCCTTTTATTATTATTACTAATGCTCTCGATTCCAATCTTGCTTGGATGAACTTTCCAGATTCACTCTCGTCTTAAATAGATCTAGCTTATTTACTCTCAAACCATGTTTCGCTTTCCGACACCATTAGCGTATTTGGGTTTTTTTAGGTTCTATGCATATTTGAGGAAAGATGCGTCATTTAAATTAGTTACGGACCGTCATCCATATTGCAAGGCTGTTAACGAGGCTGTTCGTTTTAGCAGGCAAATAACTGTCAACATTCATAAGTTCAATTGAGAAATTAATAGTTTAATAACCTGGTCTATTGCTGAGTTTTAAGTTACCAATGTTATAATAGGTCTTTACCTATGAAATTTCCGTTCTGCTGTACTGGCCATTTCAAATCAAAATATGGAGTATGAGTACCGCCGCGGCAGCAAAGCGGCACAAGCGGCACGCAACATCAATGACGTTTACGAAGCGAACGCACCACCTTTGGTTTGCCCGCTTCCGTTCTGAAAATTTTGACCTGAAAAATGAACCCCTTGAACGCCCGAAAACTTTGGCCTACAATGAATAATTAAAGGCGATTGTGGAAGCTGATGAAATTCAATATACAGCTGAATTAGCAGCAACTTTCTACGTTAGCATCAAAACAATATTGGTCCATTTGCGTCAATTGGAAAGATAAAAAAAGCTTGACAAATGGGTCACGAACGAACTGAATGATCGCCAGCGTGAAGTACGCGTCGAGACGTGCCTTGCACTGCTCAACAGGCATACAAACGAAGGAATTCTGAACCGCATTGTTACTTGTGACGTGAACTGGATCTTGATTAACAATCGTAAGCGCTCAGCCAGTTAGTTGGACCCTGGTTCAGCACCCAAACAATGCTCTAAACGAAAATTTACCCCTAGAAAAGTGATGGTTACCGGTTGGTGGTCTAACACTGGTGTAATTCATCACAGCTTCTTACCAAACGGGACCAGTATTACTGCAGATGTATACTATGAAGAACTAAACACAGTGATGGAGAAGCTCGCACGTCTCACAAAATGCACATGCACAGCAGAAGGTCTCCGAGCTACAAGAGCTGGGGTTGGAAGTTCTCCGTCATCCGTTGTACTCACTAGACGTTACGCCTACAGTCTTCTACTTTTTCCAGAATTTGGATAACTTTAAGGCGGGGAAAAAAAAATCCAGAGAGGCAGTACAAAATATTTTTGAATAACTTGTTGTCTCCCGTCTAGCTGATTTCTTCAAGAAGAGCATCAATAAGCTACCAAAGCGTTGGCAAAAATGCATTGATTAGATGGGTGATTATTTTGATTAATAGAAATAAAAAATAATGGAAAAAGAATGCGCATCATTATTTCATGAATTACGGCATTTTCATTGGTTTCAAAATATGTCGAAAAAAAGTATTTTTTTTTATCTCCATTCATAAATATTCACCGGAAGCTCAATTATATAATTGTGTTTCATCGTTATTCAACTATTATTTAATATTTTCAGAAGTGCTAAGGCTTTGGTCACCAGGAGTAGCGTTGGACAGGATCTGCAACAAGGATTATAACATCGGAAAAGCTAATGAAAAATGTGATAAAGATTATATTGTGAGTAAAAACTGCAGAATATTTATGGTCTTGGGAAACTAATGAGGATATTAGAATGAAGTGACTCTGATGTAATGTTTACGAATTGAAAGTCCATGACTTATACTAATATTATAAGAGGAAGATTTGATTGTTTGTTTGTTTGCAATGAATTGGCTCCAAAACTACTGAATTTATTTTAAAAATTCTTTCACCAATGGAAAGCTACAACATATGCGGTGAACATATACTATATTTTATCCCAAAGAACTGCAAATAAGGGTATGAAAATGGGAGTGGAAATTTATATAGAGAATTAAAACGTTACCTATACTGTATTGTTTACTGTTCAATTTGTCATTGTAATAATATCCCTGTCATGATATGAATCGATATCCAAATCAAGAGTTACCTAATACCACGCGAATGAAGATGAAATACATAAAAACCAAATTATCAATGAACGAGTATTATCAACTGATGTTGAAAGTTTTCACAAAACTGTTTCTTTACAAACGACTTTAAACCTGAATTTCTCGAAAAAAGTCCAAAATCGATTGTCTTAACTTCGAATTCTGCCTTCGTCTCAAGAGTAGTTTACAAGAGTATTTGTATTTTTTTATAAGATATATTTTGAATTTCCTAGATCCGTAAAGGAGAAGGTGTAATGATCCCTGTGTGGGGTATCCATCGTAATCCTGAGTTCCACCCTGATCCGCTCAAATTCGATCCCGAAAGATTTTCAGAGGAGAATAAACACAAAATTAAACCATGGACGTATATACCGTTCGGAATAGGACCAAGAAATTGTATTGGTAAGATAAAAAAATAATTCATTAGAACGCAATTTCAATAGTTTATTAAACCCGAACACAATAAAGAATAATGTAAATTAAGAATAAGAGTACTTTAAGAATAAGAGATATATTATGACCTCGCTGCAGTGTCCAAAAAATCTCGTTATAACACTGCAGTACACTGCAGCATTGATTTTCAGCCAGCACCCGGTTGAAATCAAATACTATATAAAGTTTTAATTATGCATACATTAATTACTGTCATGGTAAATATAACTGAGGCGACATAAAGTAAGAAATATTGCTACTTCCGCTACCGCAAATAATGAGGACTCACACGATTTCCCACTACTAATGATATGTAAACGATTTATAATTGTTTTCAGGTTCGAGATTCGCATTGTGTGAGGTGAAGGTGATGCTGTATCAGCTGCTGCAGCACATTGAGGTCTCTCCCTGCGATAAGACCGTCATCCCGGTCAAACTTAGTACAGACACGTTCAATTTGAAAATGAAGGGGGGGCATTGGCTCAGAATGAAGTTAAGGCAATGAAATAAAAATATTCTACTTATTGTATTTAATTTAATATATTGTTATTAAACTAACAAATGTGGTCTTAATGCTTAACTTAGAGTAAGAAAAATATTCTTATGTGTTTGGATTCGGGATAAAAAGTAACGCCAATAAAGTTCACAATCCGACTTTATTTAGTTGTTTAATTAAGTTTTGCTTCTGATCGCCCTTGCTTTCAGATCACTTGTTCACTGAAGAATACAGAGACGGGTAGTCTACCACGTATTTAAAGGGGCCGATACCACATCTAGAATGAATTACATGAATACATCCACAAAGAAAAATATGAATACAAGCATATATTAACAGTAAAATCGGCAAACGTTCTAGGTTAGGACCTTCCCACAGAAACTATTACACCAATTAAATTTAAATTTGGTATATAAATTAAAGTTGATGAACCAAGTAAATACATGCGTAAAACGTAAATAAAAGAATTTCGAACAATGCAAGCTTTTGGGCGTCAATTTTTCTAATGGGCGAAAAAGTATAATTGTTTACCTATTTGTGAAATGAGAAATGAAATGAAAACTTTTGAATCGTCCAAGAATTTTTTTCCCCTACCATTTTTTCAGGACGTCTTTTAGCTGACAAGAAGAACAAGCGAAAGAAACTTACCAGCTCTTTATCAAAAGTAATGACATTTACATAAATCATGTCATTACCAAAATAATATCTATTATCATAATAATAAACACAACTTTCAAAGTCTGTAGATCATAGTTTGTACATATAATTATTCGTTATAGAACAAAGCGAAGACTATTAATTCCATGCATTGCAATCCTTAAAATAATCATCAACTTTATAATATATTAATAATAGCCTTTACTCATAAGTATGTTCTTTACATGAATTTGAAATTTATTTATGGGTAGGTCAACTACATTTTGTGAAACTTTATTGAACATAGCAATGCATTTACCCAGAAATGACCCTCTGGTTTTCTGTATATTTATTCATCTTAACTCAAGATTATAATTCGCTGACAAGAACAATGAAAGCAAGAATGATTGAAGTACAATACGATATTTCGAAGTCGGCTTTGGTGTTGCCGGAGCTGACGAGTTGAGAGAGCTATAAAATATAATAGCAATAACGATGATTTGTGAAACATGTTATGAGGTCGGCATCAGGTACTAAAATGTTGCACCAATTTTCTAAATATCAAATATAATAAACTAGCTTTCGTTAATATCTTTCGTTGGTAGAACGATTTTTCCGAATGGTTAATTAACCTTACTTATAGATTTTGGATACTTTTTTCTTATTACGTTTTTTTGTGTTGTGTCCTCTGTAGTGTGCAATAAAAATATATTATTTATTACCTACGTAAATGGCTATGTATACGTACTAAACAATTAACTACAGTTCACTCAAAATTCGCAATTATGACATAAATCAACATAAATCAGGTGTTTCCAAATAAAAAATTAAGAAACAACAGATTATCTTGGTGTAGATTTTGATGACATTTAATAAAAAGAGTTATGAGCATGAATGTAGAAGGAAATATAACGAGAGCGAGATTGAAAACAAGATACATAAACCGTGTGACAGACGTCATCGGTAAGTAAGGAGTGAGAGTGGAGGTGAGAGTGAAGGTGACGGCTGATCGTGAAGTATAAAAGAAGATTACATATTGCGCCGATCACAAATAAATAACTAGGAAAAGGGCAAGAAAATATCAATTGTTTTCAAGAAGACTAAATTCTGTGGTTGATATTCCGACAGCACGGTACCCTTTTATGTTAACGCAAGAGAAACGCAAAATATACCTCAAATCAAGACCTCTCCAGCCACTAGAACTTGCTCCGAGGAGCGAGATCAAAGAGTGGTTCCCTCTTCCCTCATTGCTAGGGAAGGATTTGCAATCCCGCAAGGAGAGCTGCGGTCCCAAAACCCACACATGAGTAACACCTACCCTTACCCAAATACAAGATAACACAAAATGTTGGTTTTCTATGATGAAATCATAGAAAACCGAGAAACAAACACATGATCACAAGATAAGGACAATAATTTGCTAGCCTCTGTAGATGAGCTACAGAAGTCGCCTTCGCTCAAAGACATCACATTGAAACATAAATAACATACGCTTCACGCTCCATAAAACAGGCAAATAAACTCACGTATGTTTAATACGTTACAATGAGTCGATTTACGACAGAAATTGCGATTATTGAGATCATCTAGAAACATTACAAACGGTCACGTGTCGCTTGAGAAAGCGACCATAATGGATTATAGAAATGCGAGTGACCATTGCCAGTGCACGGTATAAGCATCATTGCATATCCAACAAATCCAATTCCACCAATTTCACTAATAATTAGGGCTGCTTTGATTTAGATTCGAGTTAAGAGGACGGATGTACTCGATAAGCTTGAAGAGGCTATTCCTGCATCTTAAGTATATCTGAAAGATATAGATTTAGTAATAGTTAATACTACATTCTTTTTACAACTCAGATGATAATAACTCATTTTAGACTTGATTAACTTTCAACACTATAAACGAAATGAATAAAAAACTCTGCATTATCTCTGAAATTTTGCAAATAAAGTTACTTTATATGTAAACCTTTCACAAATTTGGGGAAATAACAAGTGTTGATATTGACACATATTCTGATTATTATTTTTTGAATTGAACAATAATGAAAAACTAGTATTTTTAGGACTCTCAAGTACACGTTTATCTATTACCTACATACATACATCCTCACATACTTTCGCATTTATAATATTAGGTGGGATAATCAAGGAAGATATTGAACTTTTGTTAAATTTGTTTTACTATTCCTTGGCACAAAGAAATGACACCACTGTTTCTTTATTTCTTTAAAAAATATAGATAAGATACTTTCTAAAGATAAACAAAGCTACACTCGATACTGCAATATTGGGTCAAAAACACCCGTTAAGCCCCCAACTAAACATTAACTTATCCGAGGGAAATCAAAGTGTTTAGCAATGATAAAGCTGAGATAAGTTATTACATGCATATTTACAGCTCGCCAATACAACCTTTAGATAAATACAGGAAGATAACTGTTGCGTTGTTTCCTTTATTGAATGAAATCTAGAATTTTCATTTCAAATCACCTAGTTTATGTACTGTTTTAATTCATGAATTACGGAAAACGGTTTACCGTATACTATATTATTAGTATTAATAAGATAATATTTAAGTTTATGACTTGCGAGAATTTGCACCTATTCTAACTTTTGAATTATATTGGTTTTAAAACAATGGCAATGTATATTAATATTATTAAGGATATACAATACTTTGACTTTAATTAATTTGCATAAATATTAGCGGAAGGATGAATGTCGACGGTAAGTGGACTTTTTGGTCACCGAGTGACTTAAAAAACCGACTTAAAAAATATCAAAAATAATTTTAAGCGCCTGATTTGAAATGAAATGAAATAAAAATATCTTTATTCAGGTAGGCTATTACAAGCACTTTTGAATCGTCCATAAAAAAAATTCCCCTACCACTTGTTCAGGACGTCTTTTAGCTGACAAGAAGAACAAGCGAAAGAAATTTACCAGCTTTTTATCATAAGTAATGACATTTACATAAATCATGTCATTACCAAAATAATATGTATTATTATCACAATAATAAATACAACTTCCAAAGTCTGTAGGACATAGGTTGAACATATAATTAGTCTTTATAGAACAAAGCGAAGGCTATTAATTCCATGCATTGCGATCCTTAAAATAATCATCAACTTTATAATAGCCTTTACTCATGAGTATATTCTTTACATGAATTTGAAATTTATTTATGGGTAATTGGGTAGGTCAATTACATTTTGTGGAACTTTATTGAACATAGCAATGCATTTACCCAGAAATAATCCTCTGGTTTTCTGAAGGTTTTTCCTCTGGTTTTCTGGTTTTCTGCAGGTAAGGTGTCGTCGAGGTGACGGTTGGCCTTTGCTCTTCTTCATTTTGTTTTTGGTTTGTGTGTGCATGACAAGATTTAATATAATCATTTTATTTAAAATTTTGACATTTACCTTAATCTTCATAATCAATTTTCATACTAAACAAACATGATTCAATTTATTATTTTGTTAATTATTATTATTTAATTTATAATGCAATTCATTTTTAGTCTATTATTTCCTAATCCAATTCACTTTGTATTCCAAGTTTTATAATCTTATGTAATTTATTGAAATAGTTTCAAAGTATATATCATCAATATTTAATTTTGAACTTTGACGAATAGTATATACCTATTCAGTTGCGTCACCGCTAATCCATTTTTTTTAGGTTAAAGCTGAAAATCAGTAGTTTGCTCAATAAGCAAACATATTACTGAGCTTTTGCCTTTTTGCATCGTGCCGGCACACATGCAGAGTTGTGTATGTCTTTTTGTTTATTTTTTTCTTCTTTAATATTTAATCTTGTATTCATTCAACTTTATAATTGTTGGCATGTGTGTGTGTGATATATGCAAATAAAATTATTATTCATTCATTCATTCATTCATTCAAGTCTGAAGCTTGGAACGGCAAGTTTATTTTTATTTCTTGTGTTAAGATTATGAACACTACTTTTTTTTGTGAAGGAATCGTAATGTTTTCTTGTGTACATAATATTCTCATAGATGTATTGAGAGGCAACAGTCAGAACATTTATTTCTTTAAATATTTCTCTGAGAGATTCCCTAGACTTTTGTCTCTTTTGTAGAATAAAAATATCCTGCTAGCCGCAGAACCCCACAACAATATACCATACGTCATTACACTATGAAAATAACTAAAATGTACCAATCTTGCCGTTTCCACATTTGTCAAGAGTCTAATTTTCTTAACAGCAAAAGCTGCAGAACTCAGTTTATTTGACAAGCTATCAATATGAGGATCCCATTGCAGTCGAGAATCTAGTGTAATACCAAGGAACTTTGTCGATTCTACTAACTCAACTTTTTCACTATCTATTTACATTTAT